TTATAGAATGAGGTCGAACATGCAATCTTTTGAGACGCTTGTGTGTTTCCACGATTGGTTGAAGACCCGCCTACGAACTCAAGAACTAAACATAACACTGCTAGCGAACTCAAAAACCAAAGATGTTTATCTCATTTAAATATGGTTTTAGTCTCTGCAAATCTAAGACATTTTGTTTTACATTCTTGCAAATTTTTTTCATCCCTGAAATTTATGTTGGTTTTCCTTTTAGTACATTCCGAATGATAACATCCATTTGACCTCAAAATAACCCCGACTAATAGGTTTCCTCTAATTCTTTGTCATGTTATCCAAAAACTATTTAGAGCTCGTTTAGTATCCTTGTTTTTCGGCTTATCAGCATTTTTTCATCAAATACGTAACTTTTGAATTGTGTAATAATAAGAATAAGTAAGGTTGTAGTTACTTTTCTGACTGTATTGGCTAAAGTTACTATAAAAGATCATTTTAGCTATTTTTTCATATTTTTTTTTATTTAGTTAATAAAATATATTTAGATATAATTTTTTTATAAATCAGCAGAATCAGCGAATCCATCCACTTTAGCCAGAACTTTCATAAAATTCAGCAGAATCAGCCAATGTAGCCGATTGGGGTATTTTCAAATGGGATCTGTATTTCCATCCACTTTAATTTTAGGAAGGTGTTTAATATATATTTTAAAATGTGAATAATTAGTTTACATTGTTTTAACTCTGATATTAGCATCAAATGAATTATAAAAGGATAAATCTTAGTCTTTCTAGTAGATTTATGCAACTCACAATATTTGTTTTCTAAGTAGAATGATTTCGGAGATAGAGATGGATTAAAATCAAAATAGTGCATATTATAGGGACAAAAAATATGTTGCATGCACAAAAAAAGTGTGACATATTTGCATGGACTAAAAATATATTTAACCCTTCTATTTTTAATGTGTATAGATTGTTGTTTGTATTAATATAATTGTTTTAAGTAATTTTAAAATGAAGTGGAAACATGAATCTTATGTGGCATAATTTTTTTAAGAAATGACAAAGATGGGCTTTAACCGGTAAGTTAGCGCTTAGGAATGCCATTTGCACTTTATCGCTGACTTACAGAATTTGGTTGTAGTTTTTTTAGTTTAGGGGATGATATGCACTATATCGCCGAGTTGGAGAATGTGGTTGCATGTTCTTTTAATTTAAGGGGTGATTTGGTACTTTTCCCTACAAATATAGTACGAAGTATTATATTAAGAAACCGTCTGATGACATTGTTTTTGGCTTGTCAGGTTTATCAACCAGTTTTTTCACCAAACATAACTTTTGGTTTGTGCGCTGAATTGTATAATAATAAGAAGAAAAAGTAAGGCTGAAAATATTTTTCTGTCTGTATTAGCTGAACTTACTGTAGAAGATCATTTTAGCTATTTTTCATATGGAGTATAATTTTTTCTTTATTTTAATAATAAAAAGTATTTTAAATATAAATTTTTCATAAATCAACAGAATCAACCAATACAACCACTTCAGCCAGAATTTCATAAATTTCAGCAAAATCGGTCGATTCTGCCAATTTCAGAACATATACAACTTGCCTTGACTCCGCCCCTGATTATAGTTATTATTATACTCCCTTTGTCCCTTAAGACGTTGTTAAGTTTGACCGACACAGAGATTAGTAAAGTAAACAGTGTGTGGTTGAGATTTGTGCAAAAGGGAGAAGATCATAAATTATTTACTGAAAATAGAAAATGACAAAATTAGTTAGACAATCAAAAAAGAAAAGTTAGGTAAAGTTTTAAGGGAGGGATCATGGTTTGAAATAGCGGTCCACTACTGCTACATCGGCTGCTATATAGTGGTCGCGGTAGCCTTCGCTACCGCTACGGGCCACTATTGTGGTGTGAAATTCAAATCACACTAAAATGTGCTACGCTACCGCTACAGTCCGCTACGCCGCCCGTTATGCACCGCTACCGGCTGCTATCGGCACCTCCGACACTTCATCACGACTTGGTTGATGTGTAAATGTTTTGTGCATGGTGTGAAATACATTAATGATAGTATATGAAGTGAAACTCTAAATTAAATGTATATGTATACATATGGTGTATGGGACCAAAATTTTCCAACGTAAATGCATGCGCATGCTCACCAATATTATAGTAAACGTGGGCTAACAAATGGTTACTCTCTTCTCCCAAATTGAATTGCAAATTTGGCCTTTTGGGGTGAAACTGACTCATTTTAATGACTTAATTAGGATATTAGTTCTTAATCAGATTTTAATGTCATTTATACATATGTAAATTTTAATTATTAAAACCGAATTAATTATTAATAAGGATGACGAGGAACAAACTGTGAGAGAAATTGGAGCACATTTAGTTATATACACATGAAGATGAGGAAGAGATTGGAACATATTTTATTATTTCAGTACGAAAATGTTGGGCTGTATTTGTAATGTGTCATTTTATGTAAGAATCTATTTAATCTAGGGGGCGTTTGGTAGGATGTAAAATAATTACTTTGCATGTAAAATGTTTACTCTGTTTTGTTTGATTGTTTATTGTAAAATGTAAGATATTTTTTAAAACATTTTGCATTGTACCATGTAAAGTATTTTACGTGGGGGAGGGTGGTAAAATACTTTGCACGCCTTTATGAAGCACTGCAATGACTTTGCGTGCAATTTTAAAATAAATTACACCTCTGACCAAACAATGTAATCTATTTTATATGCAAAATGGTTGTTTTCCTATACTTTGCATGCAATCACTTCGCGTGCAAAGATTTAATGTGTAAACTACCAAATGATCCCTAAGAATTTGTTAAGACTTGTTTAGATGTTCAAACAAATATTCATAATGTTCCTATTAACTTTTCACCCATTAATTTTACGTTGTGCGCACTTGCAAATATTTCATGTCGCCGCACGTACCCGCGCTACACGCATCGCAGCGGCCGCAATGGCCCCTACCGTGATAACTGCTACTGGTGCCACTACCGCAATTTAAAACCTTGGGAGGGAGCATAAAGAACCAATTCGGAAAGGATATGAGGTTTTCCGGTTATGAATTTTGGATAAGTGGAAGCAACAGGCGATCAGTTATTGGTTTAACATAAAACCCGCTAGCTCACTTACCATCTCCATTTTTATCGAATGAGGCGAAGGTAGTTTTTGTCAGCTCTTCTATCTGATGGGCGAGGTTATGTTTTTTCACCATTCTTCTTGTGGAGGAAAGAGGAATCCTGCACTAAAAGAAGCTAGGAGAAACTTCCAGTTTGTCTTGATTTATAATTAGGAATTTTCGTCGGATGTGGGAAGCAATGGAGTATATAGTTAGATACTCCCTCCGCCCCGTTAGAAGTTCTCACTTTCCTTTTTTGGACGTCCCATAAGAAGATTCTCATTTCCATTTTAGGAAACAATTAATAATTTTAAGTGAAAAATTAATCATTAAATATTAAAAATAATACATTTATAACATCACAATTTTCAATACTAACTACATTATAATGTATATCTATTAAAATTATTTCTCAAAATATACTCAAAGTACTTTATTTAATTATCACCTAAATAACCGTGCCGTTTTGCTATGGGACGGAGGTAGTTGTTGAGTAGTACAAGTATTATGCTATGCTATAAATTTTGATATCTTTTCCAAAATACCACCAAGTTTTTAGTCCTTAATTAAATAGAAGGTCTAATATTACTTATTCGATTGCTTTTTCTTTTGACTTTTTATTTGAACTAATGTGATGCTTTTCTTGTCTTCGAGCGTTTCTTGCGGTCTAAGCGTCGAATCCCTTTAATTTCCACTCGGTTGAAAAAAAAATTGGAATTTAGATGGAATTTTTTAGGTATGATTCTCATTTAATGTTTTGGACATGATGATTCTCTTTTCATTTTGAAACATTTTAAGGGTGTTAAATGATAACTTCGTCATATTTATTTTAAAAAATAATATACCCGTATTAACACTAAGCTATGACTGTTCAATTACTCCACCTAATTATATTCACAATGCCGATTTATTAACTTAATTATTTACTTTGTTTAATTCGTTCTTTCTTTTGGCACTATCTTCCCAATCTGAATAGGAGTAAAATATGACCCTATTTTTTACGTAGAAGTCTACTACCATCATAGTATCATATCAAAATGCATGAATATTACTCCCTCCGTTCCCTTTTAAATGTCCCGTTTTACCATATTGGGATGTCCCTATTTAATTGCCCCATACCTTATTTGGTAAACTTTGTGTGGCTCAAAATCATTCTTACTTTATTCTTACTTTATCAATTAATATCAACCACACAAACTCACTTTTCTTAAAACCCGTGTCACCATCTCCCGTCCCATTTAAAAAGGGACGGAGGGAGTATTATATATCTATTCCTTTTTACTACATTTTTTTTACTTTTAGTTTCTCTTTAGTACTCGGAGTCCATGCAATCGTGTGCAACTGTGCAAGTTTACCTTGCAAAAACAATGTTACTGTTGTTATCACCACCATTATTCGTTATCATTATACATCACACAGTCACACATTGAAGCATTAATGTTCCAAAAGATTGAGAAGCCGTTTGGCAATTTTTTGGCTTACCAAGCTTATCGGCCAACTGTGCAACTCTAACTTTTGTTTTCTCGCGCTGAATTCTGTAATAAGCAGAAAAAAGTAAGGTTGAGGTTACTTTTCTGGCTGTATTGGCTGAAGTTATTGTAGATGACTATTTTAGTTATTTTTACATATAATTTTTTCTTTATTTTATTAATAAAATACTATATATTTTAAAAATATTTTTTCTTAAATCAGCAGAATCAGCCAATGCAGCCACTTCAGCCAAAACTTCATAAATTTCAGCAGAATCAGTCAAAACAGCCGATTTTCGTGCTACCAAACGAGCTTTGAATCCCCAACTCTAAGAGTCTCCATGCTCTGACCGCACAAGACATTTGGAAGGTTGTAAGTCACAATGATTCGTTCAGTTCAATGAGGATAAATCTTGTACTCATGTGCATCAGAAATCCAATCCAGCGCACATCATTAAATCTTGAGGTATTGTTTGTGTACCCATACAATAGAGTAAATACAGATGCCCAAATGCTTATTTACATATGCAAACAAAATTACAAAATTGCACACCTACGGAGACAATCGCATGTGCACTCTCCCTGTCCATAGTCGTCTTTTTTGCCTTCCGCGATCCTCTTTTGCCTTCTGTACATTAGAATATGGAAATTTGAATAAATTAATTTAAGTTTTAACAGTTTGTCACCCAGTAGTTACTTGAAGTCTTAAACATATTGGCCCATTTGATAAGTGTGCCAATCTGCTTCAATTAGTGAATTTCTGGATCAAGCGGTTGAATAAGCTTCATGAAAATCTTCTACGAAGTAATTAAAATGAATTTCATTAATGAAGTAATGAAAAAGTTGCATGAAAAATAGATAAGTATTCATCTTCACCAAATTCACTCGTAACGTATTAATAAGTTGCATTAAATAAGTATTTCGGGCTCTGAATTTTTTTTATTAATACGTACTCCATTCGTCTCACTATAATTGCTCCATTTTTCCTTTTACGCAGGGATGGATTTAAGGGGCGCGCGGGGGTGACTGCCCCCGTTGGACTTTCAAAATTTTCTATTATATATGTAATATTTTCATAAAATTTTCATACTTTAGTTAGATATATATTTATTCGTCCCCCTTAACTTTTAGTTTTCAAAATGAATTAGTTTTTTAAAGGTAGTTTTCAAAATTAATATGTAATCTTACATAATGTAGTACTTAATTGGAGATTAAAAGAAGAAACATCTAAGACAAATAAATAACAGAGTAACTCATTGTTTAAGATTTAGGATACTTATTATATAAAAATTCCTAGGTTTTGTAATGTTTAATTATCTTTATTAGATAATTAGTACTCTATTTTGTAAAATATCAAATCATATTAAATATCAGACACACTAGTTAATTTTTTTTAGATCATGTGAAGTGAATCCAAAATATAAATGTTTGTTGACACTTAACATTAAATGTATAACACAAGTGATTTACTTCTTACTTTCTAAAAACGATTTATTGCATATATAATAAACGTTAACTTATTCTAACATTAATACAAATATAATATGCACCATATATAAGAATCTGCCATATAATATTATTCTAAACATAATAATTTCATACGTATTATTGTAATATTAAGAAAACTTCTCGTGACTCATGAACACCCTCCTTGGTAGACATTTTGCAATTCAAAATTCAATTCTTTATTCCAATAAGATTCATGTGTTAAACAAATCGGAAGTTATTTAAAAAGTATTGATGGATGTACAACTTTTAAAGTTTTTATATTCAAATTATTGGATAAAATTTACATATCTTTTTTTCCCAAGTAATTCCCCTTTAATTTGTTACGTAGTATTTTTTACCCTTAAATGTATAAATACATTTTTCTAAATGACTTCAATTATATAATCAAAGTTATTATTCCATTATCTAAGCTTAGAATTCAATGGATTTAAATGTCGTCACGTATGTTTTAATGGAATTTTTTAAATGAAATAGCCGCAGAGCCCTACACTTGTGAAAAAATTTCGCTACGCCACACCAGTGAAAATAAATTTGCCCCGCTACACTGCCGAAAATTTTATCACCCCTACACTAACGAAAAAAATTTCGCCCTCCTTGACTCAAAATCCTAGATCCGTCCCTGCTTTTACGTCCGTCTCACTAATGTTGTCACATACTACCTATGTCCCATATTGGTTGTCCACTTTCAATTTGGCACGATTATTAATAAAGTGGTTGAAAAGTAAAAGTTGTGGTTGAGATTTGAGTAGAATAAAGTGAAATGATATGAACCACACATTTCTTGCCAAAAAAGGAAACAAGACATTCATTTTGGGACAAATAAAAAAATAAAGTAGGACAGCCAAAATGGGACGAAAGGAGTATCATATTTAGTAATATTTGTGTGGTTATTACTTTATTCTCACTTTATCAATTCATTATCAACCACATAACTCTACTTTTTGTTAAAACTCACACCACTCTCCTTTGTTCCAATCTTAGGGGTAACTATATGGTGAAATATTTGTCTCACACCGGATTGCTATAAAATTATAAAAACTCTATTAAGATCTTGTGTTACTTCTTCTAATAGGTTTATGTTATGTCAGGATGTTTTCTTTTGGACTGTTTTCAGTTCCGGGCAAGATCAGACTTCCATAGTTATAAAATACACAAAGACCAGACATTTACCAAATCAGACCAGATCAATAAATTTCAGACCAAAAGAAAACATTGATTAATGATTAATAGGATAGAGTTATGATCATACTTGGACATGAGGATCTTGACAAACTCTTCATAATTAATGAACCCATTCTTGTCAATATCGGCCTTCTCTATCATCTCATCCACCTCTTTGTTACTCAACTTCACGTTGAGCTTTGGCATCACTTCCCGGATCTCGGCGGCAGAGATGTGGCCGCTCCCGTCCTTGTCGAAAACCTTGAACGCCTCCTCCAGCTCCGCTTCTGCTTCTTTATCCTTATCCTTCAATCGCTTACATATTAGCGCACGGTACTCAGCTATATCTACCGTCCCGCTCCCGTTTTTATCCACTTTATTGATCATTTCCTTCACCTCTGCTTCCGTCAAGCTCTGTCCCAATGATCTCATTGCTTTTTCCAGCTCTTCTGTATTTACCTTACCTGCCACATTTACACAAGCTAAATTTGAAATTGCATAAATCAAATGCATATGAGAGAAATTTACTTTCTTCGGTAACATATAATACATGAATTGATCCCACGCCGGTCAATTATGGGATTAACTGGTTGGTGTCTTATAAGCTAGGTGTCCCTCCTCCTAATTGGCTGGTCTTTTGGGAGTGATTTCTAAACCTGGACTTAGGGCCTTGTTATGAGCTTGGTATGAGCAATCTTGTTTTAGGGCCTAGAGAAAGAGTTTCTAGAGATACTTCAACGCACTCCTCTCCTCTGCTCTCCTCATGATCGAGCTCTTTGTGGAGGTCGTGCTGTCGTTCGTTTTTTCGTCGGTTCATCAACGTCATTTTTTATAACCGTGTGATCTTTTTTTTATAGAGGCCTACACCATAAGTCCATAACTATGGATCGTTGACTTTGATACGTGCTAAGACTTGAGATTTCAGTCTAGAGGGTCTATTGTAAATAAAAACTTCTAGATCGAGTTTTGGAGGACTAATTAAACTAACCAACCGTTTCCATCTTTGTCAATGATTTTGAAGGCTTCTTCGTACTTGGCCATCTCATCTTCACTCACCTGATGATGATGATCCACTACCATTCTTGGTCGATACACGAAAGACAAATATATAGAGAAAATTATATGGACAATTAATTGAAGAAACAAACTGAAACACTAACACTACTGATCGATTTGTGTTTATTTATATACTACGTAGGACTAAAATGTTTAACTTGACTCCGCCAGCTTAGTCTTTGTCTTGTCTATATATAATCACACGGTATGTATATATAGAGAAAAGCCAAGATCCCATTAGCTGAGATATTTCCACTAGTACCATAATATAACTTGGGACAAAAACTTCACTTTTATGACAAGGATATAACTTATCATTGGCCATTTGTTATCATTGCCCATGCATTTTTTGTCATACTTTTATAGCAAAATAATCCTTTTATGAGAAAATATAAAGGAATTGTCGTATAAGAGTAAAAACGTTTGTGAATTCCCAAATATAATTGCTATATTTTTATTTCCTAATTATGAGTAATCACTGTCATGTTTTGGCATTATCAGACTTTAAATATGACAATATTTTTGAAGTTGGGCAGTAATTACTCCTACTTAAGAATAAAAACATAACCGTCCTAAATTTTAGAATTCCAAAACTTTTTTACTCCTATTTCAAGAATTTTTACCAAAATATAACTTCACTTTTGCACGCTTATTAAGGGAAACCACCATATTTAATCTTGTTTCAGAAAATTTCCTTTCTACAATTTGCTATGATTTTGTTTGATTTGTATGGTTTTCTATTTATTAGTTTCCACATTTTTCTTATATCAACATCATCATTAGTCCAGTGCCGCAAAGGCCCACCTACGGTGGAGTACGGAGGGTCGGATGTACGCAGTCTTATCCATGTACTAAAACACAGAAAGACTGTTTTCAAATGACTCATGGTGAAAATCGCCTCAAAAATTGCATGGAATGACTGCTGCTTCATAACAAAGAATTGCAAACAGTTTAGTGAGTCATTTTGTTTTATTCCATCATATTCCCAAGTCAAAAAATAGTGAATCTTTAGCTCTATTGCAAATGATGAAAACATATTTTTCTAATATACTTTTATTATTATTATTGTTACTTTATGACTCACTCTATTGCATTGAGGTATGTGAATACTCATACTTTATCATTTTTTTTAGATTTTCTAATTTACTCACTTTTTCATAGTTTTTCCTAAAATATTACGCCCCTCCGTCCCGCTAAGTTTGTCTCATACACTATTCACTTGGTCAATACAAATCACTTTTAATCTCTTACTTTATTTATCAAATTTTTATCAAATTTGATTCAGGTTTTTGCGACTATGTAAAGCTTTTAATGTAGTTTCTGAATATTTAATTTTTTTTCTAAAAGTACTTTGAGAGCGGACAGGGATCTGTTTGCTTTATCGTCGGTCAAACATCGTAAACCGAATTGTCTCAATCTTAGTGGGACGGAGGTAGTACTACTAAAAAAGTCATGGACAAAAATGTGTATAGGTAACTTTTAGTGACTATAATTGTGTTAAAATTTTACATCATAGTCATTACATCGTAGTAATTTTGAATATAATTATAGTCACAAAAGGTTATCAAGCCACATTTTTGTTCTTCACTTTTCAAGGAGTAATAGTATTGGAATTTTTTCAAAAGGAATAACTATAATAATAAAGCACAGCATTGAGATATATGACTGACCTGGTGTAGCTTAGTGGTCTCTTGATTTTACATTTATTTAATGAAAATCGAATCCTTTCGTAACTTCCAGTACCTTGAATTGAATAAGGGCGGTGGCGTGAATGCGTGATGGCTGATGCATATGTTCTCGATTCGATTGTAAATGTTGAATGGAATAGCATATATATTTGCATTGAAGTACCGATCGAATAAAATGATTGGGATTCACAAATGGGAGATTCTTTTAATATGATTCACAAATGGGAGATTCTTTTAATATAATTACAAGAGAATATATTCACAAATGTAATTGCATGTTTATTATAAAGGGGGTTTGACTTTACATCTCACTTTTTGGATGATATTGGATTTTGCACCTTATTTTAAAAAACCTTGACTTTGCACCCATCATATGACATGTGAAGAAAATTTCGGAATGGGGGGTGCAAATTCAAAAGATCTTTAAGTGAAATGAGGTGCAAAGTCAAAGTTTTTTTTTAATGGGGTGCAAAGTCCAATATCACTCAAAGGTGGAGTGCAAAATCAAATTCCTCCTTATTATAAATGTTGAAAAGACTTCACTATACTCAATAGACTCAATACATAGTAAAGAAGATTATCATCATGTGGATTCATCCCCACCAAGCTCAGAGTACTATTTAAAGGAAAAAATGTTCAAAACAAAGACCCTTCGATAAAAATATGACTCCGCTAGTCACTATAATATAATGGAATCTGACTTGAACATGAATTACCCCTTTTGGTACTAACTACTTATGGTACTTAAATCAGAGTTTTTTAAAGCAAGGTATGTGTGTGCATTTATCCTCTTCTTAGTTGACATGTTCTTCAACATGTATCAGATAAATGTACTTTCAGTTCCCAAGCAACAAACCTTTGGATCAATATCATTTTCAAGATATTATTATAGTGCTTGAATTGATTAATCTATTTCATCATACTCTATCAGTTGGTCTATTGGATGACAAGAAATAATCCCTTAGCTTCATGCATCCTCCCACATTTGTTGTTTCATCTCCTTTAGATGAAGTCAAGTCTTTCATATTGCATGGTAACAATGATGATATTTTAGTGCAGTCTCAAGTAATAAAAGATATCTTGAAATATAATGCAAATAAAAATTTAATCCCAAAAGAAGTTGATGGGGATCACATAAACAGACATATAAGTCGTTATCCTATGTTTCTTAGTTTTGAAAAACAAGCATCCAATTAAGTTCATTGATCTCTCTCGATATTAATGCTGATGATTATTTTAAGTTTTTCTGCATGTTATTGGATTCATAGGTTCAAGGCTAAAAACATTGTTTTCTCGTCCTTATTATTGATGAATCAATTATGAACGCATATACATTAAGAGTTTGTGATTAAGACGCCAACAAGCAATTTCCTCTTCTTGTCCTTATTGTGTGTGATTTTCAACGAAAGCAAATTTCCGACACTCATGAGGGTATTATCCACGCAGCAAATACAAATTAAGTTTTCATATACTAACAGTGACTGTCATGTTCAACAAATATTAGGCAGTATTAAGACAATGTTCAAGGGATCTACTGCAAGTGTTGCATGGAAATTTAAACAGGTTGTTAGGGCTCCCACTCATACTCAGATTCAAAAGTACTTGGCATTATTAGATGTGGTATATCCTCTTGGGATAATTTGTATGTGATAGATGTTGAAAATGATGGCATTTCCATCATTTTCAATGGATCCAAACACTCACTATTTTTTGACTTGGGAATATGATGAAATAAAGCAAAATGGTTCACCAAACTATCTGCGCTTCTTTGTTGTGAAGCAACAGTCAGCCCATGCAACTTTCGATGCGATATTCACCATGGGTCATCCAGAAACAGTCTCTTTGTGCTTTGGTACAGGCCTACAGGGGTAAGACTGCGTACATCCGATTCCCCTTACCTCACGTAGGTGGGAGCCTAGGTTGAAAATGTTGATGATGATGGTGATGATGAGATGTTGAAAATGGGAACAGGGCACTAGGTTTTGATTTTTCACGTGGAAGGATGCAAAAATGCTACATTGAACATCATGGTGCATCATGATGGAATAAAAATTTCTAAGCACAAAGTTATGATTTCTCGACACTACGTACCTCAATAGCATTATAGTCTCATATACAAGTCTGAAATGTCTACTTTTGAGCTAATATTCTAAATGGGTTTGCACTTTGTGACTCCCAACTTTTGTGTGATGGAAACTCATAATGAACTATGAGTGAGAAATAAACTCACACACCTAGTAGTTGGCGGGCTTAGGTTTCGGTCTGTCATTTTTCATTAACATATTGATGATTTAGCTATGAAATTCCGTGCATATTTTTCTATGGAAATATGTGTTAAAGCACGATTGACGTTGTTAAACTTTGTAGTTTCTGGATTAATCACACGGTCATTAAGAAAGTTGCAAACAACGGTTCATAAGATCAAATTTGATTTTTTATGCATCCTAATGAACCAACCTCGGTTAGTGCATGATCAAAGTATGAATTCATTTATGAGAAGTTCTCCAAGTATGCTTATGTGACATCATTTTTTATGCTTGATTTATATGACCAAATAAGTACAATTAGTACCACATATATGACTTCCATGCCACTTAGATTCTGCTGAATGTGTAGCATTTTTTTGTTAACACTAGGTGATCCCGACTTTGTTGTAAATCCAAATTTCTCGAACAATTTGTTTGGTTCCCAATGCCCATCTCGCACAAGAACCCACTCTTGATTTATTGACTCACGTTTCATCAGGTTCCCAAAAACTCAACACAGCTCCTGGAAGAACCACCACTGATTGGTCAGACACCGTCAAATTCCCATCAATAAGCTCACTCTCACACTGCCACTTGAAGTGAGATGGAACGCTGGTTGTGCGAACACCCAAGTTAGCCCTGGAGTTAGAAGATCATCATTTGAGAAGATCCTCTCAAACTCACATCATTGGTGACTTGAACCCAAGACCTCATACATGGGAGAATGTTAAGTGTGGGATGTGGTCCACTTGGGCCACTCCCACCGATTTGTAGCTTTTTTTTTTTTTTTTTTGCTTTTATGATGCATGCCGGTTAAGTGCGGTGCTATAATATCTCGGGCGGGGGATCAAGAGACTGAAAGACGAATTATGTGCACTAATGCATACTTTTGTATATAGTACTAATTAATAAGTTACTTTTAATGATGAAACTTGTTTGGTCGAATTGTGGTCTACGTAGGATTTGTTTCTTAAATATTTTCGCCACTAAATTGTTTGCCACTTTAGATAATTTATTCTTTCTTTAATTAGTCTCACTCCACTCCCTTTTGAAATCAAATGATTAGCTCCTTTTGCCTCCAAATTAAAGTACACTAACCTCAAATCCATTCGCATCGATCAAATCGAATCAATCGATTTAATTACAGAATTAACCTAGTTGGGTCAGGTGGGTGTTACAAGATTGCCTCTTCACAAAGGTATGCTTTAATTTCCTAAAAAGGGATAACCCTTTTCCTAAATGGACATGATCTTTCTTA